GAGGTCGACAACATTACCGCGACGACAGCAGCCCAACAGAAGTCCACAGATGCCCCTCCTACTTCTGTTTCTGCCCCACCCACTCCTACACCTGTCCAAGTGTCATCGGCCCACAATGCACCTGTGGACACGAAGCGTTCGAGGACTATTCCAAACATCCTGTCTCGCAGTAAGACTCAGGCTCCGCCTCCATCTGTGATCACAAAGGCCGCAGAAGGTGAGACCAAGAGCTGTGAGCTCCTAATGAAAGAGTAATCTGTGGAGTAATCGAGTAATCTGTGGAGTAATCGAGTAATCTGTGGATTAATCCAGTAATCTGTGGATTAATCCAGTAATCTGTGGATTATTCCAGTAATCTGTGGAGTAATCCAGTAATCTGTGGAGTAATCCAGTAATCTGTGGATTATTCCACTGAGTAATGCAAATATCTGTGACTGTGTTTGTGAAATACTCAGGTTTTTTAAGGAAATGTTTTCTTAAGTGAAAAATGAATAATGTAAGATCCAGTCAAAGGTCAAAGGTCAGGTAACAGGAGGCAGGCTTCTGACCTGATGTCGCTCATTGTGATTGGTTTGTGGAAAAAGCTTCTATTTTTAAATAGTAACGTAATTTAGTAAACTGTTTTTATCTTGTGTCACGTTTAAACGCCGGACGTGTGCGTTCGAGATTTACGGATCTGAAGTGTAGCCTCCATAAACGCTGAGCGCTCGTCCTCAGCAAACCGCCTGGAAAACAACGAGCTGCTGACACGAAGCGACGAGTAAGAAACAGGTTGTGGGGTCGTCCGTTGTCACGGTTTATTGGCCGCGCTCGCACACCTGTCAGGATGTCAGCCAGGACGACATCAGCGCTCACCTGCGTGACGTAAAACGCTATTTTATGATGTCATTGCATATTCAAGACAAGTGTGCGATTTGAGCTGTAAGCACGCTGCCAAATGCAGTGATGTGATTGGTCAGATCTGTTTATCTGAAACATCAGAAAAATCGAGCTTGGTTCGTGTTTTCTGCACGATAAGGCGCTTTAAGACAAACCGCTGTTGCCTTGAGTGTGTGGAGACACTCCTACCTGCTGTGAGTGTGACTGTGAGGCGCTTTGGGGTCTTTAGGGACTCAGTAAAGCGTTATACAAATACAGACCATTTGTTCTCTGTTCAATTGTGTCCTCTAACGGCGGCCATCGCGCCGCGTTCCCTCAGAAACTCTGTACTTGTTGTAGGTCGTCTTCGTGCTTCCTCCACGTGCGCACCATCGACTCATTAATGCCGAATCGTCTCGCAGCTGCTCTGTTTCCATTCTCTACTCTGACTGCTCGGAGTGTAAAATCCGCTTCGTAAGCGCGTCTCTTCGCGGGTGCCATGTTGAGGTCGTTTTACACACTCAACACGGTGATGTTGAGTTGAAGCACCGTACGGATTACTCTGCGAGGCTCCTGGCGACGGTAACCGTAACGCTCCGAGGAGTGGCACATTTGAGAATGAGCATCGCGTGGCCATAAAATCGGGTCGAGGTCAGAAACACAAACCAAAATTCATACATAAGGCGAGCTGTCGATTTTTGTGAAGACTCAAGATTTTACCTGCAGTGCGGTAAATACGGTACCATAACTTCGTCCTGCGTTTTTAATGCGTCGGTGTGAACGGCTGCACTAAGAAAAGGTGAGTCTCACCCGGGGGTGCTGACATGTAAACAGGGCGGCTGCTGTCGGCTATTCAATAGAATAGGATAGAGTAGAATAGGATAGAGTAGAATAGAATAGGATAGAGTAGAATAGGATAGAGTAGAATAGGATAGAGTAGAATAGGCCTTTATTGTCGTTGTACATGTACAACAGAATTATGGGTGCTGCACGCCGGCTGTGCCGGAGCAGACGAGAGGAAAGCCCCCAGTGTGTGAGTGACCCGGGTGATGAGGTCACCGTGACCCGAGTGACCCGGGTGACGAGGTCACCGTGCAGCAAACGCAGCAGTGAAGCGAAGACTCGACAGATCGTTAAATTGAAACTAATTAGTTTTTAAGTTTTCAGATTAAACTTCCTGTTTTCCGTCACCTGTTCGCCCAGGTAATCCTCCAGGTGACCCGTCGTCCTTTCAGAGTCTCGTTCCAGCTGATCTTCTCTCTGTGGTCGGGGCACCGTTACCCAGGCAACCAGTCCTGACCCTGAATGCCGTGAGAGCGGGTTCGATGGTGCTGCAGCCGGCGCCGTCTCCAGGTACGGACACGTGGAGCCCGAACGCTCTCTGGTTGGCCGTGCTTTTATTTAGAAACTCAGATGTTTCTGTTTCGTCTGCAGGCTTGACCTCAGTCACCCTAAACATTCCCACTCTGACCAGTCAGCAAATCCACCTCACCCCACTGCTCTGCCCACCGGCCAGGCCCCTCGCCGTCACCAACCTGACAGGTAACAACACTCGCCGCCTCGGTTTGTCCTCGAGGCCAGAAACATTCTCAGGTATCATTTATGCAGCAGCTGCGTCTAATGACGGTTGTGCTGGCGCCGCATGTTCGTATCTGTGAAACACGGCGTGAAGAGAAGTCACGCAGGTTTTAAACTCGAGTGTGAAAAATTCAATCGCTCAGCAGCGGCGCTAAGAGGGCGATAGCGGCGACCTGTCCAACAGCTCTGATCTTGCCGTGACGCTGCGTACAGACCGCAGCGCTTCGCCCCGAATATCTCGTAACAGGAAGCAGCTTACCGTGAACCGCTGCCCTTTGCGCCTAGCTCACACTTTTCTCTCTCTCTCAGCTCCACCCACATTCACACAGCATTGGTAAGCTCCTCCTCCTTCCGGGTCGGACTCATTAGCATCTGTCAGATGGACAAATTAAACCAAAAAACCTTCAGAGAAATAAAAAACGTTGTTATTGTGACGGCATGTGATTGGTTGATTGGCCGATCAGCTGATCATCTGTTTACTCTTCCAGGCTCCAGCCTCAGCGGCGTGCTGAAACTCATTCAGACCAACACGCAACAGCAGGCTCCGCCTCCAACCCATCAGCTGCTCCCTGGTCTTCCGGCTCCGCCTCTAGAGGTCTGCGATGCTTCATCTGAGTCCTCAGATCGAATCGTACACCAGGACCAGACTCCGCCCCTCGGTGAGGTCAGACCTGCATCCTGGTCGTATGACAGCCAAACAGAGGAGAGAGAGGCGGAGCCTGAGAGCAGGGGCGAGAACAAGAGCCTGCCGTCGCTCCTCGATGAGTTGGTCTTCCTTAATCAGCAGGTGGGAAAACACCAGGACGCCGCAGCGGTGGATGGCGCTGACGAGGAGGGACACACCCACAGCCCCTGGATGCTGCAGCTGGACTCAGACTCTGACACAGATGGGGTTGGGCCTAACCTCGATACAGAAACCATGTTGACCACTCCAGGCAGTCCTAAAGGAGGCGTGCTGGCCCCGCCCCCTCTGCTGCAGATGAAGGTGGGAGGAGCCAAAGTGGCAAGCCCAGGCAACATGGAAAGAGAGGGCACAGTGGCAGCGGGAGAAGAGGGGCAAGGGCACAGGGGCGTGGCCTGGAGGCCGATGCCGAGGCTGGTTCCTCTGGGATTAAGAGGAAACGCCCCCAGCTGACATCACACCGCAGAAATAATGATGTCACAGCAGCTGCACCTTCCTGGTTGGGTCCTGATGGGGAAAAAAGAAAACCATGACTGATTGTGGCGCTTCCATGGTAACAGTCAGTTATCGTTTGGGGATTACTAAAGATCAATATTCAGGTATTGATTGGTTTGGAACAGGGCGACGTGTCCTGGTTTTCCGACGCGCTGACCGGAAAAACGCAGACGCTGCTTCTGAAAAATATGGAAGTGCCTTAAACCTGCGTTCTACCTGACAGCCACCAGGGGGCAACGCTGCAGTTCTGTCCTACAGAAGTCTGCAGCACAACGCTGCTCTGACCTCTGACCTCTGTACACGCTTCATGCTGAGTTCATGTATCTCAATCATGTCTTTCAAAATGGAGGATCAGCTGTGGTGTTTTGTTGATTGCTCATTGGCTAATGACTCGTCAGTCACGGGTCAGACCCGCCCCTCCTCCTCGCAGCTAAGATCGTGGGGATTTCAGTTTTTAAAAATGTCTGTTGAACCTGTCACACCTGTCTTTGAAAGAGTTTCTGTAGCATCCTGTTTTCAGTGGCTGCATTCAGAGAAACTTGATGGCGTGCTGAGGAAGAAGAAGCGCTGTCGCCACAGAATGTTCTGATGTTGCGTTCAAATGTCTTCCTGTTTGTATCGGTGTCAGGTGAGCCGAGAGACGCCTTCACAGGTTGCAAGTTCATGTCTGAGAGTGGCGTCCACGTCACAAAGAGAGCGCATTCGGGCTACTCGCCCCCAAACGTTCAAACTTTATTCTGAAGGTCCAGCTATTGTTTCCTGCTTTTATTTTTTTATTTAAAGGAACTTTGTGAAAGCTGTCAGTGTCTCACCAGGTGGAATGTTTCAGTTTCTTCATGTTTTGCAGGAAAAACGCAGTCATCACAGGGGACTCACCTGGACTCACCTTTTCTTTTTCTTAATGACTTTTTCTACATGTTTACCTCAGCTGTCCTAACAGCTGGAAGGAAAACAGGTACCAATAAAAGTTAAATATTTGAGTCTGCATCCTGCTTTTATTCAACAAAAG